TATTGAGCACCTACTGTATGCCAGGCCCTGTTGCAACAGTCAAGGGTACATAATGGCCCAGAGAGAGAAAAATCTCTGCTCCTAAGGATTTGGGGAGGTGACAACAGCATGATAAATGTGTATGTCAGAGGGAGGTGAATGTTGTTGGGGGCGGGGATGCAGCAGGGAGTTGGGTGGGGTGGCAATTTCAGGAACAGTCAGAGAAAGACCTGTCTATGAAAGTGACATTTGAGGAGAGGCCTGAAGGAGATAGGAAAGTCAGGTCAGAGGGCATGGGTCTTGTGAAAGCCAGGGCAAACATGGTCCTGGCAGAGAGAAAAGCACATGCAAAGAGCCTGGGGCAGGACTGTGCCTGGCAGGTTAGAGGCAGAGTGCGGTAGCCGGTGTGGCTGGAGCTGAATGAGTGCAGGGGAGAGGAGGGGAGTGGGGTGAGGCTGACCTCGCAGATATCTGGAAGGTGTGGTGAGGACTTTGCCTTTGCTTGGGGATGCAGGCTTTGCAGGGAGCAAGGGAGGGACCGAGCATAATCATTAATGAGCCTCCCTCCTGCCCCCTTCCCTGCCCTGCTGAGAAGTCCAGATGGGTGTGGGGGACAGGGATCTGGGAATCTGCTTATCGCTGGCCCAGCTGTTTGAAGAATGTGGTGTGGCCATAGTCCAGGGATGGCAAGGAGGTACCAGGCTTGCTCTGCACCTGGCATTGACCCCTGCCATCCAAGAGGGCAGCAAAATGGGCTCTAGCTGTGTCCCTTCAGAGATTTTCCCGAGACCGCCAGGGGTCAGCCCACCAGGGAGCAGAGGTGGGAGGGCACACCCGTCTTACCAGGTGGAAACAGGACTTTTAGCCCCTCAGACTTGTTTGTTGTTTGGGTTTTTTTTAAGATTTTATTTATTTATTTGAGAGAAAGAGCAGAGAGAGAGAAGGAGCGAGCACATGAGTGTGGGGGATGCGGGGCTCGATCCCAGGACCCTGAGATCATGACCTGAACTGAAGGCAGATGCTCAACTGACTGAGCCACCCAGGTGCCCCTATTTTGTTTTTAATTTAAACACACAGAAAAGTGTAACCAGCCGCTCAGAGCTGGTGACGCAACACGGCCAGCCCCTCCCCCCGTCGGTGGCCCCCCGTCCTGACTCCGTTTACGTTGTCTGTGCGCATCACTTACGTCTCGACTACGCCGTGTCCTGCCCTTGCCTGTGTGACTCAGAGCCGCGGCTGTCAGATTCACCACCCTGCTGCAGGAGTGATCCAGACTTTGGTTTTGGGTGGTGATGGACAGTATTTCACTCACTTTATGTACACCATTCCACTGTTGGTTGGAGTGGTTTCCCGTTTGTGGTTATTGTGACGAAAGCTGCTAGGAACATTCTAGAACTGGCCTTTGGTGAGCAGAGCGCTTGTTTCCTTGGGCACACACCTGTCAGAGATTGCAGGGTGAGCATTAGAGTGTCCTGGGGAGGCTGATGCAAATGACCACACACTGGGAGGCTTAAAACTAGAGATTTACTCTCCCACATTCTGGAGGCCAGAAGCCTGGCAGGACCGAGCTCCCTCCGCAGCCTCCAGGGGGAAGGTCCTTCACCTGTTCCAGCTCCTGGCAGCTCCAGGCCTCCTCGGGCTTGTCAGCCGTGTCCCTCCAGCGTCGCCTCTGTAGCCACACGGCTGTCTCCTCTGTCTGTCTTATGAGGACAACTGTCACTGGGTTTAGGGCCCACCTGGATAATCCAGGATGATCTCATCTTGAGACTCTTAATTGCATCTGCAAAGACCTTTTTTCCAAATAAGGTCCCATTCACAGGTTCTGGAGATTAGGACCTGGATATGTGTTCAGCCTTCCATAGTGAGGACCACTTCACCTGGAGCAGCACGGCCAAGCTGTACCCCGCATGGCCCGGACGTAACCCCAGGGGGCTGTGGGACAGCAGCTGTTGGGACCGAGTCCTAGTTCAGGGTCAGAAGGAAGGGAGAGTGGGCCCCGGGCAGGCAGTAGGGGGGTGCTGGCTGCAGAGAATTAAAAATAGTAAGAAAAGCATGGGAAGCCCAGAGCCAGCCTCCTGCAATGTTGTGGGGAAAACCTTTCCGGGGGAACCAATGAAATAGTCATTGCGGTTATCATCCTCTTACTAACAGGACGCCTTTCAAACTTGCCTGATTTTGTCCTTTCTTCTTGACTAAACACCTCCTCCTGAGGGAAGTGGGTCCAGAGAATTCGCAGCTGTGACCCGCCCCCCAGGCCTCAGCCAAGGGAGCTGGCCGCAGGCGGGCGGTCCTGACTGCCACCCCCCCACCGTGCCCCTTCGGGCGACGTTTCAGCCTCTAACCCAAACGGGCATTGCCCATTCCCTAGGGGACACGGTAACTAATAAGAACTGAGAGCCAGTGACTGTAGAGAGGGAGACAGCTCGGGCAGCCCGCTCCTGTCACTCTACGCGACCACCTGTAGTTTTCATCCCTGGGCCGGACTTGAACGTCTTTGGAATTGCAACGTCTTCTTTTAATTGTTCAAGTCTTCTTTTAATTGTTCAAGTGTTCGTTTTAAAGCTAAAGAGCAGGGGCGCCTGGGCGGCTCAGTCGTTACGCGTCTGCCTTCGACTCAGGTCATGATCCCAGAGTCCTGGAATCGAGCCCTGCGTCGGGCTCCCTGCCCCGCGGGAAGCCTGCTTCTCCCTCTCCCACTCCCCCTGCTTGTGTTCCCTCTCTCGCTGTGTCTCTCTCTGTCAAATAAATAAAATCTTTAAAAAAAAATAAAGCTAAAGAGCAAATCCGGAAATCAAGGGCTTGTCCCCTGTGGTTGTTACACAATGGTCCCTGGAAACAATGTTGCCGTGCAGAGGAGGGGGCAGTGAAGAGATGGGGTCCCTGCTCGTGGGGCCACTGCCATCCCGTCCACCAGAGTGTGCCCCACGCTGGTCTCTCCTCGCCGGCCGGGCCAGCTGGTTTGGGAGCCCGGGACAGGGCCACCCCATGGACCCCCACTCCCCGACATACCCCACATGACAGCAGGGAGGCAGAGGGGGCACCCGCGGGCTAAGAGGTGCTGGCAGGACTGACAAGCACGGAGGGGCCCTGGGCGTGGGTGCCGTGTACGGAGGCTGGCGTGCGGAAGGAGGTGGCAAGCATCCAGGAGAGAAGTGGGCGCCAGTGAGGGGCACGGGCGTGGGACCCCTGGGGGCTGCAGGCAACTCCACGGGCCTTGAATCCCTTCCTTTCCCATCCTGCCACCAGGGGGCGCCAAGGCCCCACGCCTCCTCCAGAACTGTGCCCCATTTTCCGCGGAAGGACTGGAGGGAGGCCCCACCTTCAGCACTCGTGGCGGAGGACAGGGCTAGGCCTGGACGGAGAGGCTGGGGGCGGAGGGACTGGGGCGGAGTCCGAGGAGCGTGGTTCCCATGCTCAGAGCTGCGAGGGGCCGCAAGGGGCCCCGCAGATGGGGAAGCTGAGGCCAGGGAGGGGCAGGGTCTGCCCGTGGGTCACCCGCAAGGAGGTCAGGGGGCTGAACCTGAGAGCCCCCAGTTGAGCATCCCTTGTCTTAGAGAAAAGCACAACCACGGATGGTACCAAATGACAGCAGGAGCCATCCCATCAGGGAGGGAAGGTAAAAGGGTGGCTCTTCCAGGGAGCCCCGAAGAGGTTTGCTGAATGACACCCACCAGGTACCCCCAAATCACACATGACCGAGGCTCCAGAATATATGAGTAGCAGATCTCCAGAGGGTAGGGGACAGGCTGAGAGCTGCGACCAGCCTCCTCTGCTGGGGAGCGGCATGGCATGCCAGGAAAGTGTGGCCCCCAAGGGAGCATGGGAGGGTGCACTGGACCGGGAGAAGGAGGAGGGCTGAGGTGCACACGCTGTGACAGCATGAATGCGAGTCCAACTACCAGCACATCCTGGGATCTCTGCGGCCCAGTGTGCTTAACTCGGGTGCCCTTGTTTTTAAAAAGTGCTTGTAAAAGTTACATAGGAATAAACAATGGATGGAGACCAGTGTTGCCTGAAAGAAACCCAGCCAGGGGTGCCCGGCTGGCTCAGTCCGTGGAGTGTGCGACTCTTGATCTCCAGGTTGTGGGTTCGGACCCCACGATGGGTGTAGAGGCTACTTAAAAAAATAAAAACTTTAAGGGGCGCCTGGGTGGCTCAGTCGTTAAACATCTGCCTTCGGCTCAGGTCATGATCCCGGGGTCCTGGGATCGAGCCCCGCATCGGGCTCCCTGCTCGGCGGGAAGCCTGCTTCTCCCTCTCCCACTCCCCCTGCTTGTGTTCCCTCTCTCGCTGTGTCTCTCTCTGTCAAATAAATAAATAAATACTTTAAAAATAAGTAAGTAAGTAAATAAATAAATAGATAAAAACTTTAAGAAAGAGAGAAAGAGGGAAGGAATGAAAGAAAGAAACCAGCCAGAATTGCTGAGGCTCTCCAGATTATCTCTGGACTTACTGGTAGCCAGGCAAGAGGGGAAGTGGGTACATTACAGTATGTGGTTAGGCGTGTCTTCTGGGAGCGTGCCTGTTTGTTAGAGCGTCTTTGAACACATGCAGCCTATGTGTGTCCGTGAGAAGAGAGAGCACATGGTGTCAGGTCGTTAAACAGCAATGAGCTTCCTGGTAGCAAGGGCAAGAGGGGAAACGGATACATTACAATGTCTTCCTTTGGGCCTTGCTTGTTTGTGACAGTGTCTCTAAGAAAGTGAGCGTGAGGCAAAGGGAATAAAAGCAGACACAAAGTTTCAAAGTGTAAAATATCTACGAGTTTCCTGGCAGCCAGAGTGAGAGAGGAAATGAGTTCGGGTCTATTCAGTGCGTCCTCACCACTGGCTCCTGGTCATGGCAGTGGATCTGACCATGTGCAGGGCCGTCTAAGCACGTGTGATGGGAAGTCACATAGCTGTGGACGGGAGATATTTCTAAGCTCGCTGGAAGCCAGGGCAAGAGGGGAAGTATGCTGAGTTTGAGCCTGGTCCGGCATATCTTTCTTGCTGCACGTGGCAAGGGCCTTGTCGAAGGGCTCAGACAGGGCAGTGACGGGCGGCGAGGCGCACACGGCTCTCCTCAGCGGGGCTCCAGGCCCGGGCATAGCCCATGTGGGGCAGCAGTAGTCGGTCTTGAGTGCCATCCGGGCTGATGAGGCGCTGGGCAGCCAGCAGGTACTCGCGGTGGAGGTCCAGCCGGGGGCAGGGGCAGCGACCCGGCGCCCACACGTACTCGAGGGCCCGCAGCGGCGAGCGGTTCTTGTAGATGAGCTGCACTTGAACCTCATAGCGCGTCTCCTCGGCCTGGCGCAGGCGGCTCAGCACTCGGGCCCTGAACACTGCAGGCAGGACCGTGTGGAGGCTGGCTGGACACTCCACCCTGGGCACCCACCCGCACTCACCCCATTGCCGGAGAAAGGGACTGGGGTCAGATGGGGCACTGGAGGTCCCTGGGGACTGCGGGTGGGGGAAGGGGCTGGGGTCAGGTGAGGTCAGGGATCAATGAGAGGTTGAAGGTCAGATTAGGACAAAGGGTCAAAAGGAGGCCAGTTGGAGTCAGGTCAAGGAGTCGGAGGTAAAGGCCGCAGCGGAGGGTCAGGCTCGGGTCAGTTAGGAGCCAGGTAAGGGCTGGGTTCGGAGTCTCTCACCGAAGTCGCTCCGGCAGTAGTACAGCAGCCGGGGAGCGCGGCCTCGGGTGTCGGGGCAGCGTCCGCAGGGCTCTGCGGGGGCGGCACAGTTAGGGGCACAGGCCTCCCCTCCCTGCTTGCTCCACCCCGGCCATGCCCGCCTCACCTGGGGCCGGGGTCGGGGCGCGAGGGGCGCTGGAAGCTGGGGCTGCGCGGAGGTCGGGGGCCTCCGGTTCTACCTCCCGAGGCTGCTGCTGCCGCAGGGACCAGCCCAGGGCCTGCGCCTGCGCCTGGAAGGGCCCGTAGCGCTCCCGCGGGAGCCAGAACTCGAACTCGATGCCGGGGTTGGGCTCCTGCAGGAGGACCTGGAGGGGTGTCACACCTAGGGAGCCGCACTCGGACCTGATGGCCCAGCTTTCCCTCTCCGACCCCTGCCTCCCGCCCCCCTCCTGTAACCCAACCATCCCCTACATCTGCCACCCCCGCCTCACTGCCCAGCCGCCCCCCGCAGAAGTTGGCCCGCACCTGCAGGAGCAGGTCTTGGGACGTGGGCCCAGCCGCGCTCAGCATCTCCTCTGGCCCTGCAGCGCGGGTGTAGACCACACGGGTGCCCGCCGCCTCGTAGGTCCCGGGTGGGCTGACCGCCCAGTTCCCGTTGAGCACGTAGCGCCCGTCGCCCCCTACCAGCGCTGCAAGGGAAAGGTCAGCCCGGGCTCCGGGACCGGCCCGTCCGGCCTCCCAACCCTGGCGTCCTCCTCCCCCGGCCTCAGGGCCCCCGGCTGCTCCCAGGCGGCCAGCAGGGTACCTCCCCCCTCGGACCCCGCGATACCCAGGTGGTTGCGGCTCCGGTGGGCTACACGGATGTGTCTGGCACCCTCGGGGATCAGGGTCACGTTCCAGTACCCAGCGAAGGCACCTGGACAGGAGGAAAGGAGGGTGTTGAGGGGCAGGTGGGAGGGTATTTGAGGGACGATTTGAAGATTAAATGAGATACTGCGGTAAGAGGTACCAGGGGTCCTGGTAACCCCCAAACGATCGGTTAACTTTTGGAGTTAGGAGGATTATTTTCGATTAAGTGCGGCAGGGAAAGAGTTAGAAACGCATCTGTTCCTAGAAGGGCTGGGCCACCTGGCAATAACCAATCAGAATGAAGAGCGAGGGGGGCTGGGCCACACACTGCCCAATCAGCTCGCGACTTCGCTTCCGGGCCCGAAGCTCGTTAAAGGGCCCGCTCTGGGTTAGCCGGGAGGACGGAGAGGGCGGTCACCGGAGTCTCGGAACACGCGCTGCACCAAAAGGCATGACTCGTTGGTGCCGCCGCAGCGGCCGCAGTGGTCTTCGCGGGCGTCCGAGCCCAGCAAACCGTCACAGCCGGCGCTCTACAGAGGCGGGGAGGACGGGCGCGGCTTCACCGACAGCCCCCTGCCCCGGACCGTCCTGGGGGGAGCGGGACCGTCCTGGGGGGGCGGGGCCCACGAGTAAAGGGGCGGGCTCTGGAGGGAAGAGGCTGCGGTGGAACCTAGTGGTGGGCGGGACCTGGGGAGGGGGCGGTACAGGCGGGGGCGGGGCTTAGGGAAGAGGGTGGGACCTGGGACTGAAAGGGATGGGGTCTGAGGTCCGGGCCCCGGGTGTGAGACGGACGGGGCTTTGCGGGGTCCCGCGAGGCCTTACGAGGCAGCGGCCAGCCACGCAGAGCCCCTGGGTCCCCGGGCTGCAGGGGGTGCCGTCCAGGACCCGGCCGAAGCTGTGGTAGAAGGAGTGGCCCTCGGCCAGACAGTTGAGGTCGCACTGGTTGGGCGCTGGGGGCGGGGGGAATTGTGGGGCCAGTGGAGCACCTCTGGCGGAGTTCCAGCCTCCTCCCCCTCAGGCAGATGAGGCCCGGAGACTCAGCCAAAGCCACACACGGAGGTTGAGGCAGAGCCAGGGCTGGAACCTAAGCATTCTGCCCCCAGCTCCCGGGGACTGTCCCAGGCACGTATCCTGGGCCTGCGTACACGCACGCGCGCAGGCTTTCATTCATTCAGGTCAAGCTCTCACATTAGGGAGTCCCTACACGTTATCCATTGCTAACATCCTTACCCATTCTTCATTCATCCTTTAGTTCCGCAGACACTCACAGAGCACCTACTATTTTCCCAACACTGTTCCAGGCTCTGGGGTACAGCCGTGGGCAGAGGTCACACAGCACTTGGGCCCTGCACCCAGCATGTGCCCAATAAAAAGCGTTCAGTGCTGACCGAATTCTGCGTAGCCTGGGTGTGTCGCTGGCCCTCCCCAGGACTCAGTTTCCCCCTCTGCCCGGCAGTGGGGCAGAATGGGAAGTCTGATCGCAGGCACAAGCCCACATAACCCTGACTGACCCGTGCTCCTCCTGGCTCCCACCCGCCTGCGCCAGCCCTCGGTGGGCCTCTGCGCGGGTGGGATCGCGGCAAATTTCCTCTAATTCTTAGGGGAAAAAACCCCAACCCTCCCCCTCAAAAAAACCCAATGAGGTCGACAGATGGAATGTTCTCCATATCTGTATCTGCTTCCACTATAGTGTCTAAAGCTGCCTGTTTCCTTTAAATCCGGAGGCGCGCTGCCCTGGGCACACAGTTATGTAACTTGCTGCCTTCAGCTAAATGCGGCAACATTTCCTGCTACGGGGATAAGTTTGAGAACTCTTGGCCTCTGCATACAGCTCCAAGTAAATCCTCAGCCTGGTGTTCAACCCCGAGCAGGACAGACCCTGCCCCTCCCTCTGCTCCTGTTTCACAGGTCACAACATCGCTCTCCCTCCCCCACGCTGTCACTTCAACTCCTATATATCCTTCAAAGGCCCAGTGCTAATGTTCTCTTCTCCTTGCAGTCAGTCCTCCAGTCTTCTTAGCAACCCCTTCTCCTTGCCTCTCCTGGACCAACAGGAGGGAAGGCTACTCACCACCGTAGAAAGGCACCCACTGGTAAGTCTTCTGGGTGCCCAGGACAGGGTGGCCATTGTAGAGGGCACACTGGAGATCTCGGAAGGGAATGGCCCCTAGGGGACAGTCCTGAGGACAAAGATAGGTCTGAGGCTAGGAGAGCCCCAGGGGAGCCCAGAGAACCTGGGAGGGTGGCAATGGTATCTGGGGGCCTGAGCCGGAAAACAGAAGGTCTTCAAGGCCCAGCCAAGGGTCGGGGAGGTAGACAGAACTTACCGGCAAATGGCAGAGGTGGTACTCGTGGGAGTCTCCCCAGCACGGCTCTCCCCCAGGAAACCTACAAGGAGCAGGATGGCCAGAGCATGGTTAGGACCCCCAGTAACCTTCTTTCCGGAGCCGGCCTGCCCCCTCCCACCCCACACCTTTGGCCTGGTCAGCCCCACCCACATTCCAGTTGGATCAGTGGGATTAAAAGGCACAGCATGTGTGGGCAGGCTGAAGGTGCGGCCAGGAGTGGGGCGGGCTGGCAGGAGGGGGGGGCAGACACCCCCCTCTCACCCCACCCCACCCCACCCAGCCAAACCCCAGCTTTCTGCTCACCAGAAGCAGCGCCTGCTGCGCACCGAGAGACCCCGCCCACAAGAGCTGGAACAGCGACTCCAGGAACCCCACGGGGTCCACTCACCTGGACCCTACTTGGGGAGAGAGAGGCACCATCAGCCTGGAGAGGAGCCCGGTGGCCCCCAGACCACTGGCCAGGTCCCTAAGTCCACTGGCTCCCTGGACTCATGTCCCCCCTTACCTGAGCACTGCCCCCTAAACCACAGTTCAGGAGGGTCCACAGCAGAAGGAGGTTCTGGAGGGGGCGAAGTGTGGGGGAGCAGGGAGGGCGCTGCAGTGGGGGTGCCAGGAGGCCAGGGTCTGAACCCCAGCTCTGTCCCAATTGGCTGTGTGATTTGGGGCAGTAATTTAACCTCTCTGGGCCTCTGTTCTTGTCTCTGAAAAGTCGGGTAATAACAGAGCCCCTGTTACAGGAAAGTTTCAGGGGCCCATCGGATCAGGGAAGAAAGACAAGTGGCACAGAGCCTGGCAGTGGAGAGGGAGAGCTCAAAGAATTATCTGCTTTTATTATTATTGACTGTGTGTTGTCTTATAATGTACAGTAGGTGCTAAATCTGTGTCTGATTATGGAAGGAATCATTCCAGGATAGTGCAAGGGTGTCTCCAGGGTCGGGGCCCCATAACCACTCACCCCACCATCGTTGTTTCTACCTTCCTGTGTGGCCGAGGGCCAGACACTCCACCTTCCCGGGCCTCAGTTTCCCCATCTGTGCCATGGGGACCAGCTGGACTCAGTCCAGGGCTCTAGGAGGGACTTTGCAGAGGTGCGCCTGGTGGGGGCTGGGTCAGGGCCCGAGTCCCTGGCAGAAGCCCCCTGCCTGCCCCTGGGCCTCCAGGACCACCTCAGCTCCCAGACCCGAGGCAGCAGGGAGCCCCTGGATTGAGGGATAACAAGGGGGGGGTGACCTGGCCCCAGTCCAGTCGCCGACTCCTGACCTCATGTGCAGAGGGTGTGGGCCCCACCGAGGGCGGCCTGCAGAGGTAAAGGGGCCACTGATGAGATTGATGCAGGAAAGAGGGAGGCATCTGGGGGTGACTGGATTGGGGTGGGGGCAGACTTTCCCTCCCCAGGCCTCAGTTTCCCCATCTGTCAGGGGAAGGATGAAGTCACTTGCCATCCACATCCTCCTCATCACCATGGCATTGCTGGAGAAAGGGGGAGGGAAGTAGCCACCTGGTGAGTCCTTTCTCAGGCCACGGCCAGGCTGCCTGGTGGTCAGCAGAGCCCGAAGGAGGTGAAGGACAAGCTGGAGGTGTCTAGCCCCGAGGTCCCGGACACCGGTCCTGTACCAGTTGACCCTCTGGGCCCTCCTGAGCCCCAGTTTCCCTGGTTCTCAGGCACTGGCTCTGACATTCCCACCTGGGGCATCAGGGGCTGGGGCCCCTGGTGGCTCCAGGTGCTGAGAACCTTGGGGACCACTGGGCAGGTCCCCTTCTCTGCCCAGAGCTGTGTAGCCAGCTGTGTCCCTGCCCCTCTCTGAACCCAGAGCCCTGGCCGGCCCGGGAAGAAGTTGGTCGGAGAGCTGAGATAGGGGGAGAGGGCTTGGCCTTCTGACAGCCCCGCTCCCACCACACACACTCAGCACTAGCTTGAGGGGAGGGAGTGTAAATGGTGGGGACTGAGGGGCTAGAAGCACCATCTTTCTTCTCCCGGGAGACCCCTCCCGGAGGAGCAAGACACACTTCGTTCTGGCTGCACTCCTGACTGCAGGTGTGATCCCAGGGCAAGCCATGCCTCTTAGGCCTCAGTTTCCCCAGGAGGAAGTGGGAATGAGCTTTCTCCCACCCTGGGGACTGCTGCCTGGCCAGCCCCTAGCCGGACCGGGCCCTGGGACAGGGAGGAGACGCTGGCCGGGATAGTGGGAGGATAGGAAGAGGGACTTACCGGCTACGTAGAGCCCAGGCGGCGCGTCCTGGCTCCCCCGGCGGCCCCAGGACGAGCGGAAGCGGCGGGGCCCGCGGGGAGGGGCGAGGGGGAGCCAGGGGCAGCCCCTCCCACCCGGCCTCCCAGGGCGCGCCCAGGCCGGGGTCCGCAGGGGCTGCAGCCCCGTGCGCCCTCGCGCGGCCGTTGCGCTCCTCGGCGCGTATCTACGGCAGGGGACTGCCCCGCGCGGGCCCCGGGCCCCCGGAGCCGCGGCCTGGTGTTCCAGCGCACATAACCCGGTGACCTTGGAAAGCCCAGGGCGGGGGAGCCGTGCGGGAACTGACCGCCTCTACCCCCCCACCCCGGGGCTGCTATTCCGGGCACCGCGCTCAGGGCCAGGGAATGTGCGAGAACCGAGGTGGCCCTGCCATGGTTCCGGGAATCCGGGACGCTGCCCCCTTTCCACCGACGCCCAGATCGCGTCCCCCCCCCCGAGGGTCCCCTTTCCCGGTCAGTACCCCTCTCCCCTGGCCCTCCCTCCTAACCCTCCCTCAAGGTCATCCTACTGAGGAACCCCGCTCGCCTGGGTTGCAATCCTGGGGTTCCCACTCCAGGTCCCGGCCACCCCCGGAGCAGGGCCCCAACGCACTGGGAGAAGCTCAGCTCCAGAGGCCGGGCGTGGGGGGCGGAGAGTCCCCTTCCAGCCCTACCAGGAGCATTCCCGTGCACTGCTGTCACCAAAGGACGTGCCCCACCCTGCCTTCCGCCCTCCCTGCCTGGCCGCGGGCTGTGCGCTGAGGCTTTGGAGCCCGACCGGGGTCCAGAAGATCCGTTTCCCGCGCGGCAGTGGCCCCCTCCCTAGGATTTTAGTTTTCCCATCCAGGCAATGGGATCGGTGGGGTTCTTCACCAAGACCCTCGCAAGGGGACCTCAGCTCTTTCGGAGGGCTGGTCAGGGCCAAGTTACCCCAGGGATCCCCGCTGCCTCACCCTTTCCCAGCTTGGCTTCTGCGCCGGCCCCTCCCCCTGCTCATGCAGCAAGCAGCAGATGCCCTCTGCTCACCCCCTCCCCTGGCTCCTTGCTCTTGCCCATGATGTTCCCTGACAGGTGGGTTGAGGAGATGGGGACACCAAGGGGACGATGAGTGGACTGCCCCTCTGGTCATAGGCAAGCCCAGGCTCAGCTTGATTGCCCCCCTCCTCCTGGAAGCCCACTGTGGGGTATCCAGCCCTGACCACGGGGAGGGGGGTTACCAGTCCAGCTCTGTCTGCCTTCCAGCCCAGAGCAGCTCAGAGCAAGTCGCCTCGATGCCATCTCTGCATGCGGTCTTTACTGAGCACCTACTATGTGCAGGTGCAGCTGTGAATGACCCAGCTAACTAGGCTGAGGGAGGCAGCCCCCTGGGAGTGCGGAGTCCTACCTTTTGATGGGGACACTCAGAGGCAATAGCCCAGGCCCACTGCAGATGGGGTTGGGGGTCAGCAAGGCCCTTACTGAAGAGGCAATTCCCACAAGGAGGAGGGCAGTGTGGGCGGAGGAGACAGCCTGTGCACGGCCCCTGAGCGAGAATAAGAGAACAAGGGACAGTCAGGAGGCCAGGGTGGGTCAGGGGGCGGAGATGAGGTTAGAGGGGGGTCGAGGGATGGGAGCCCCGGAGGTGGGGGAGGGTGTTCTAGTCTTGGAAAAGCCACACCTGGCTGCCGTGGGGGCCAGGAAGGCAGCGAGGAGGCAGCAGCGTCCTGGGGTAGAGCCCCCGTGCTGGCATTTCGGGTGGAGCTGAGGAGCCTTGGGTGGCTCTCAGCTGTTGGGGAGCAGAGCATGTAGGAGTTCCATGGGGGGCAGCGGTGGGAAGAGGTGAGGCGGGAGCTTGGCCTGAGCTGCTGGGAAGGGAGGTGCCCATTGGCTGGGGCGGGGGGGGGGCAGGCATAGGAGGACACTTGCACAGGTCGCTCCTGGAGGGGTCTGCGGTGAGACGTCTGTGGGCCCAGTAAGAAGAGGCTGGGAGAGCAGGGGCTTTGTCTGGCTGGAGAGAGACAGGTGGGTGCCCTTGACACGTGGGGGTGTTTAGAGGCATGGGTGAGATCACAGGGCCTGAGTATGGATGGAGTGGAGACTGGGGCCTCTGTACCAGGGGCCTGGGATGGGGGAGGGGAAGGGGGCATGGGGTCCTAGAGGCCTAGGGATGTTGGGCTTCAGCGAGGAGGGAGAGTTGCGGGGGAGGAATCAGCATTGACAGAGGCAGTCAGTGACCTTGATGAGGTTAATCCCGGTTGGACAGGGCCTGAGAAAGGGTAGCAGGAGAGGGGCAGCAAGGGCAGGCACCCTCTGCTGAGCACCTACTGTGTAGTAGCTGCGGCCTGCTGTGTATACAGGAGTCACTGCACGCTGCCAGGAGGGTATGCAGCAGGCACTGTGTCCTGCAGGAGCAGGGGCATCAGAAATAAATCAGGCTTGGCTCAGGGGCTCCACCAAGTGGACAGTCTCCTTCCCTCAGACGTGCCTCATTCCCTGAGTCCCCGTCCAAAGAGCTATGCAGGGTGTGCATACAGCAGGCACTGTGTCCTATAGAGATGCATTCAGCAGACACTTATCTCTGCAGGGAGTGTGTACGGTAGATACTGCACCCTACAGGGACTGCATGTAGTAGTCTGAGCCTTTCAAGGAGTGCATACAGCAGGCACTGTGTCCTGCTGCGTATACAGGAGTCACTCAAGCTGCCAGGAGTGCATACAGCAGGCACTGAGTCCCACTGTGTATACAGAAGTCACTCAAGCAGCCAGGAGTGCACACAGCAGGCACTGTGTCCCGCTGTGTATACAGGAGTCACTCAAGCAGCCAGGAGGGTATGCAGCAGGCACTGTGTCCTGCAGGAGTGCATACAGCAGGCACTGTGTCCCGCTGTGTATGCAGGAGTCACTCAAGCGGCCAGGAGGGTATGCAGCAGCCGTGTCCTGCAGGAGTGCATAGAGCAGGCACTGTATCCTGCTGTGTATGCAGGAGTCACTCAAGCGGCCAGGAGGGTATGCAGCAGGCACCGTGTCCTGCAGGAGTGCATAGAGCAGGCACTGTATCCTGCTGTGTATACAGGA